TCCAGGTCTACAAACACTGCCCTGGGCACATGCTTGCCAGCGCCCGTCTCACTGAAGAAGGTGTTGAAGGAGTCATCTCCTCCCCCAATGGTCTTGTCACTTGGCATCTGGCCATCGGGCTGGATGCCGTGTTCCAGGCAATAGAGCTCCCAGCAGGCATTGCCGATCTGAACACCAGCCTGGCCAACGTGGATGGAGATGCATTCACGCTATGGGAAGGAAAAGAGGAAAATTTAAAATCAGATTGTGTTAGCATTTTGAATTTTCAGTAAATTTCTGAAAATACTTCTAGTCATATACAGCTACTCTTCAAGTTTACTTGAGATTATCCCTAACTCGATAGAAATGTTTAAGGAAAAGCACCTGCTCCAAATGCTGCAGATGGGTGTGGTCTGAATAAGGTTGCACTGTTCAGTACATGTGCAAGCCCATTGTTCCCCCAGCCATGCTTGAAGAGAAATTTTTCATATGTAAAAAATATTTAAAGCACAGATTTAGTAAGATGCAGTAAATTAAATTCAATCATTAGTTAATTGGAATCAGTATTACTACTGCATTCCCTTTAAATAAAGATGAGAGTTTCTTGTACATATGACTTGGAATTTTAACGTGGACATCTGTGCTGCAGCTGAGGCTAGATGCCACACCCCTTTGCAGTCTATCTGCAGGATCCATTAGTCCTAGGGGACTGGAAGCTAAATAAGGTCTGCCTCCTGCATTGCTGCATTTGCTGTGCCTGGTACTAGACTGTTCTGTCTGCTACATTATTTAACAGAGTAAGTTCTATTTCCAGAAACTGCCTACATGATCTCATTGTGCTATTCTGCCAGTTTTCCTCCTCTGACCCAAGCTGGGACCATATGCCTAAATTGAAATGAATTAATGAAGATGCACTAGAACAAAAGACAGCTGGACAGAGTATAGTTCTTTGTCTGCAGCATGTTCATTACTTAAAAAGAAGTCTTTCCAGAATCTTCTCCACTGCAAAAACTGAAAGATTGTTAGTATCTTTAAAACAATAGTTCCTAAATTAGAAAAATATCACATGAGAACTACCAAAGAATAAAAGCCCAGTGAAAGGATAATGAAGTATTTATTTAAAACAACAAAATAGTATTTTCATTTTGAGATTCTCTACTCACCACCGAATATTCATACTCATCACGTTCAATAAGAGATTTTCTTCTCCACTGTCTTTATGGCTTCAACTTCCATTGTCTGTCCATTGTCTACTCACTGACATATTGGTGGGGGGGGAGGGGAGAGGAGGGGAGGGGAAGGGCGTTTCCCTGGATCTTGGGCTTTAGGGTACCTTGGCTCTCAAACTGAGGCTTTCTCTCCAGCAGAAAGTGCGGCTAGCGCTCACACACACACACACACACACACACACACACACACACACACACACAGAGTCAGTCAGGGCGGGGCGGCCCCAGACCAGACTTTAAAGTGCTTGTCAAGTGAATTGCGATTTTTGCATCTTAAAAAATATCTCATCTAAGCTTTAACAGTGAATGAAAAACCTTTTAACGCCTACGGTTCCACAATGATGAAAGCATTTTATTAAAAGTCTTATGACAGAGGTTTTGTGAGGGGGAACCCCGCCCAGTGGCTTTAAGGCCAGAGAAGGCAGAAACAAACAACTCCGCCCCTGCGCCGCCCTGACGCCGGCTGCCAGGGGCTCGAACAGAAACTAACCATTTTTTTTCGCGTTAATATACGGGTATCTTCCTAAACTGCCAACGAACCGTGGAGGGATCTTTTAATACTAACCCAAGGCTCCGCTTTGTCCCTGTCCTTCTCCCCTCCCCCCCTTCCCAGCTACACCCACTGAGCCCGGGTCTTTCGGGACTTCTCTCCCTCCCCCTGGGAACAACGCCAGGAAGAAAAGAGCCTCCCCGAGTCACACGAAAACCGTGCGCACAGACACTGGGACAGAGCAGGCGACGCCACGACTGCCTTTCCCTGCCCAGACCCTTTCGTCACCGACAGATGGGCTGCCTGCGGCTTGGAAGGGCTCATATAACAAGAACTCCCTCTGCGCCGCCTTTGTTCTTCCCCCACGGTTCTGCTGCGCCCTGGGCGCAGTTCCTCAGCCCGCACTGCGGCGGCGGCCAGACTCAAGGATTTGGGGCCCCAAAGCCAAACCTCGCAAACAAAGCATAAGGCTACCCTTACCCAAGAAGTTGTAAAGGAAAGAGAGCTTAAGACTTTCCAAGTAGATCTTGGGGGACCGACCCCACCCAACGGCCACAAAGAGCCAGAGAAAGAAGATTCTTACCATGGTTGCTGCTTTGCGGCTGCCGAGCAGATGGCGGAGAGGAGGAGAGGTTGTTGCTTCTTACAGCGCGACTCTTAGGCGGTCGATGTAAGAGAACCTGCGGCACATGGGCGGATGCGGCTCCCTATATACAACTCGGTCACCATGGGGATGGGCTGGGGCCTTTTCCTGTTGGTCCAGACCCCTCAATCTGCCCGGAGAAGCCACGACAGGAGAGTGGTGATTGGTGCAAACGACATGGGATGAGGTAATCTCTCCCCCACCCCTTTTTCCCTAGCATCCATAGACTGTTTGCATCCTTCAGACAAAGAGACTGTGCAAAAACAGTCAGCCGAGCATCCATGATGGGGTGGGGTTGGGGCGGGGGGGGGGGGGGGGGGGGGGGGGGGGGGGGGGGGAGAGAAGAAAGAGAACTTGAATTGTATGGTTTTTATATTGCTTAAGCCTCACACTACAGCTAAAATCACCAACGTAGGTTTTCCCCAACACTTACATCGCAGAATTTGTGTTGAGATGAAATATTTAACGGAAAATTACTCCCAGTCCCTCTCTCAGAGTATTCTAAATTTCACTACATTCGGCTTCAACATCTCTAATTGCTTTACAAATAATGTAGGAGAGAAGATGGGAATGATGCTTAACATGGCTTGAGTAAATGTAATTTTTTTAATATAAAAAAGGTTCAATAAGCGTCATCCAAAATGGTTTTTCAGATTCAAGTAATTTATCGTAAGACCTTTTATGCACTCCTCCCCCAAAGAGCTAAACAAAAAGGGAACGTGGAAGAAAACCATACTAAATATGGAAGCACACAAGTAGTTATAACATGATAATTAAGATCTAATGAACATACCATAGTTAAGTAGTCTCCTAGAAATATTCCTTTACCAGAAGTCCCTGTAATATATTTTATGTAGCGTACTGTTCCTTAAAATGAATTGTCTTTCCTGATATAGAATTGAGAAAATACAAGGAGAAAGGATTGAGTTCAGAAGCTGGTGCTACTACCTGTGCATGTATTTAATATTCTGCATTGTTCTTTCTTTTTTTTTTTTTTTTGGAAGAAAACTAAGATACCAAATTAAAAAGGAGAGCTGTATACAATGTAAAAAAGACTATTTTGTAATTTTGCCTCCATCCACAGACAACCATTTTGGTAGTTCTTGTGTGAATTCAGTAAATCTCTTCAGAGATTGGGCTTGTAACTGTGGAAAATGTAGCCAGCCTCACACCCTTGCTATTCAGCTAGACTCTGGTTGTTGCTCAATTGCGTCTCGAGACAAAAAGGCTTTGCTTTCACCCCTAGGAAATGGATTGCAGTAACATTCTTTTGCTATTTAGAAAGACTCTATTATCAACAAGGATGGGCTATGCAGAATAAGACTTTGGACTGATTACCACCTGCCATTGCTAATGAAATTTCAGAGGTAAAAAGGTTTGTTATGTCCACCAAAGTTGAAAATTTATATTTTGACAGGTAATTTTTATGTTTGGTTTTTAGCAACAGATTTTTGGGGTCTGCAACACCATTTACAGTGCTCTGCAGAGCCCATTCATTCCTGCTGGGCTGCCGAGCCCAGGAGGCGTGGGAGGGAGGGACTTGAGACAGCTGCTGCAGGTTGTGGTGTGACAATGGCTGCCATGGATTTTTCTAGCCTGCTTTCCACAGCTCTGCTTTACTTGTTCAAATTTGCTGCAGTCGTCTCCCTAGAAAAAATAAAACCCAACACACAAATTATTTTATCTATTTCTTGCATATTTCATAGGAAAAACAATCTTCAACATCATCTTATCTCCGTCCCTTTACCAAATAAATGTTTATTTCAGTAAAAAGACAGGAGAATTAAGGACGACTTGAATGCTTCATTCTGGACCCAGAAGTACATTTAATAAAAATAGGAATTAAATGGCATTGAGCAGTCTAAGGATTTATAAGTAGCTCATTGAAAGTACTTCTTATACAATTTTAATAATCAAATAAATGAAACACCGCTGGACCATGGTAAAGTGTGCAAAGCTTTCCTTATGGAGAGAGAGGCACAGTCTTGAATTTTATTTTCTTTACAGTATAAAAGGAATATGTCATTTCCCCGATAGTCTCAGTTCCTTGTGCAACTTACTGAGGATTAAACAAAAGAGAGGCGTGTTCATGCAAGTGATTCTTTGTAATTCTATCTCAGAGCTATTCTGTTCCGTATGCAAATGAGGATTTTTTTCTCCCCTTGGGTATAAGTAACAATAAGATCTAGGTCAGAAATAGATTATTTGAGCACTGATAACCTTAAATATATAAATGGGAGAGCAGGGGAAATAACTAATCTGTTCTTTTTTCCCTCATCTGACTTAATGACATGCAAACTATTAGAAAATTTTTTTACTAGTTCACTTCTTATTTTTTTCTGTCAGTTTCTTTAACTTACATAAACATACATGCATAAGTATTCTGTCTACTAAGGATTCATTCTTGTCCACAGTAAGATTAGCATAAAACATCTTTTCTTTTATAATATTTGTAGAATTTAAATTATTTGTGTGTCTACGCCTTTTCTCCATTAAAATGTGAATCTCAGTCCCTGGCAAAGTGCCAAGCATACACTATTACACACGTTTGTTGAATTAAATGAACGGTTTCTTTCTGTGCATATTTTAATTAACTATTATAATGCGTAGTAATTTAAAGGTATTTAATAAGTATTTTTCCTTTATAAAATGTTTATTTATTTATTTTGAGAGAGAGCAAGAGAGCACGAATGAGGAAGGGGCAGAGAGAGAGAGGGAGAGAGAGAATCCCAAGCAGACTCTGCAATCTAAGTGCAGAACCTAACACAGGGCTTGATCTCACGAACCGTGAGCTTATGACCTGAGCTGAACTCAAGAGCCGTATGCTTAACTGACTGCCACCGAGGCATCCCAAAACTCTCCATTTTCTGGGTTTCCTTCTTATATATTTTTGGTTTGCTTGTTCTCTGTCTCTGCTGGTTCCTCCTCCTCTCCCAGTCTTTAAATGTTGGAGTTTCTCAAAGTTCAGTCCTAGACTCTTAACTCATTTTATTCTATATGATCTTAGTCACTCCTAATAGATGGTAAGTGCTTTCATTTCCAAGGCTGCAAATCCTTTGTATATGTCCATCACTTCTTTTTAAAAAAATTTTTTTAATGTTTATTTTTGAGAGACAGAGAGACAGAGTGTGAGTGGGGGAGGGGCAGAGAGACACAGAATCTGAAGAGGCTCCAGGCTCTGAGCTGTCAGCACAGAGCCCGACGCAGGGCTCAAACTCACAAGCCGTGAGATCATGACCTGAGCCCAAGTCAGATGCTTAACTGACTGAGCCACCCAGGCGCCCCATATGCCCATCACTTCTTAACAATTCTTCTTAGTTTCAGATTGTGTAGTAAACTTCCAGTCTTAGGCTGGGTTTCTCACAGGTATCCCCAGTTGAACTAGTTACCTTCCCATAAACATGCACCTTCTACAAGGTTCTCTTGCTCAGTAAATGGAGCAGCATATATCTGATTTCTCAAATCAGAAAGAAGAATTACTCTTGATAGCTCCCTCTCTTTTTCTGACCAGCATAGAATCGATCACTAAGTCCTATCAAGTTTACTTCCTAAATCTCTCTCAGATCTTATTCTTTTCTTCCATCTCTATTGCCTTCACTCTAGTAAGTACATCATCTTTTGCCTGGACAACTGCAGTGCCCTTCTAGATTTTCTTTGCATATACTCCTAACCCCACCCAGTTCAGTCTTCACACAACAGCCAGAGTGATCTTATTATCATACATATCACAGATCATGTAACATAATACAGATCATGTCACACCATTGCTTAAAGCAGATCAATGGCTGCCGATTAGTTTTAAGATGAAGATCCCATATCCTTAATGTGGCTGCTTTAATTCCATAATGGAAGTAAATCTTATACTTCAAAATCTGCAAAAGGACATATCAATTTAAAATTATTTTAAAATTCAGCTAATTTCCTGAGAGATGATTTTGATAGGGAGGAGGGAGGCAAAGGAGTTATAAAAGCTAGATATTCACTTTATAATTATTTGTTATGCTATAAAATTGTTTTATTTATTTTTGTATTTATACCATATTTATAATAAAAAAATTTAATGATATAAACCCATGAGTTTATAAAGATATTCCACAAAGGAAAAATAAAAATAGGAAAAAAGTGAATTAAAAATAACATCTGATACCATTGCACCACTGGAAGTAACTAGGGCAGCAGTTCCATACTCTACACATTGGCAATCAGATAAAGATTTGAGCATTTGTCCTGCATTTCCTGTATAAACTATATTTCAAGGTAACCAAATGACCCAAATTAATTAGGGAAAATCATTGTTTTATAGAGTTTTATAGAGTAATATCAACTAGTGAATATGGAAGTAATAGAATTAGAAAAATTACCCTTGCATCCCCTAATGAAGTAATTTATTCAAGCAAAGATCATCAGTGGATAACAACTCTGATAAAATATTGATGGGGAATTTTTAAAATGTTTATTTTTGAGAGAGAGAGTGTATGCAAGCAGGGGAGGGGCAGAGAGAGAGGGAGACAGAATCTGAAGCAGGCTCCAGGCTCTGAGCTGTCAGCACAGAGCCCCATGCAGGGCTCCAACTCACGAACCTTAAGATCATGACCTGAGTCAAAGTCAGATGCTTAACCAACTGAGCTACCCAGGCACCCCTATTGGGGAATTTTTAAATGAAAGGATTCAGCTATTACTAAGTGAACTCACTGCTCAATATTAGCATCACTAAAAGTGGGACAATCAGACCCTGTGACCCTGTGATGTGATCTGATAGGAAGCACACAGCATCACCTATGAAAGTGCATCAGAAACAGCTGTGCTAAACCTATAACCAAACTTTTAGAACTAACTTCCATTTATAGGAACAAGTCAGATGACATCACAGGGAGGCAAACAGAAAAACGCAAAGTGTGGGACATTCTATAGGACAAATTATCTTGTTTCTGCAACAACTGAGTGGTGGCATGGGGTGAAGAAGGTGGGAAAGGGGGACTGCTGAAAGTTAGAAGAGATTTTAGAGACTAATTGCCAGTATAACAATGGATTTTGTTTGGATTCTGATTCCAACAAACCAAGTGT